GAGGAAGCTGTTGGTGTTAGTTTGCGGACACTTCTGGTTGCTGGTGCTACTCCGCACAAGGACGGATGCTTCTCGACTCTTACCAGCATGATGTACTGGGGTTTGTACGATCGGCAGAGGGTTGTCCCAGTTCGCGGTAGTGACGACTGGGTAGATCAAGCCGGTCACCCCTATCGCGATCGCAAAGATCGGAATAGATCCGCCGGTCGCTTGCTGGCGCTTCCGCATGGGGCTGTCGAACGATAGTTGTGGGAACGTTTCGTGGCGCATACACTACGCCCGTCTGCGGTCGGTCTGCCTAGATGTGGCTACCGATTGGGTTGCCGTGCCTGTTGGAACCTAAGCGAATCCCCGGCATGCCGGTGTCTTGCATGTTGAAATCCACCACCAGTAGAGAACCTTTGGTGTCTAGCGCTAAGATTGCTTCAATCTCAGAGGCGTCTGAGAGTTTGATCTTGGGCAGTAGAGCAGAACGACAAGGAGTCGTTGTTTCCCACTCCAGAATGTGCGCTCCAACAGTTTCGAGTGATGTCAGCATTAGGGTCGAGATGTTTGTGCCTGGAGCTGAGGGACCTGCTCGCGGCGAATGCTCAATGCGTTTGACTCCACCTCCAATCTGCCTTCGGGCTCCTCCGTATGTGCGAATCCTTGAATTCGGAAGTCGTCCGGCGTTGAACCACGGCTCTTCTTGTATCGCCATGATATTCGTGAGATCATGCTTTCGAATGAACTCGCTGATTTGCTGGCTTTATGCAGTGCGCTCCGCGCATTCCAGGTGGCATGCACGCAGCCGGCTGCAATGCAGGTAGATTTGGGCGGGTCTCCTAGTAGGTTTTGCACCATCTTCGGGGAGAAGAGCTGCCAAAACTGTGCAAGCATTGCCAGCAAACTTGGCTTCTGGGGAACGCTGCAGGGGCGGCCGCGGTGAGGCCTAGGTCGCGACTTCCACCGCATCGGTGCGTTCCCGGCACACGGGGCCTGAGCGGTGTTTGCCTCTGCATAGGTCTTTGTACCACTGCTGACCAGGCTGTTCCGTTTACTTCCTGCGGGCTGCACCCCCAGATATCGGACATGGGCTGCCGTGATCTGACCGCCCGCCATTTCTCCCGTCATTCGTAGAGGGGCGACTGGGGAGACTAAAGTACGCTGCATCCGGGAGAACGCGCTACGATGGCGGTCCGCTTCACAATTGCATCATTCAGGTGGTGGGGTTGAAGTTCCCCGTTTTGGCAGTGTTGTCGTCGCCCATGTACTCCCGGCTGTTCTGCTCCGTAGGGGCCATTTCCCGTGCAGAGCTTGCCAGAGTAGTCATAGGCGCAATTGGCGATTGGTGAAACCCATCAGGAGCAGCGAGCGCAAAAGAGTGTCGTGCCCTCATTTACGCGCTCAGTCACGTCGAAGCTATTCCAACTGACGAGCGAATATATTTTTTCGCGGAGGCTGGAGTGTCGCGTAGGGGAATCATGAATGCTCCCCGTGAGCAGTTACTGTGCTGCCATTCATTATACGGGAGGACTCACCGTCCCTGCGGGTCCGGCGGACCGCAGATTCATTTTCGACGCAGTGTTGCCTGACGCCAGGTTGGGGTCGTAGCGAGCCCTCGTCAGCTCTTGCGCCACTTACTCCTCGGTGAACCCTTCGGGAGTTCCCATTGGGTTGCCCACTCGGAGGTTCTTTCATGCCCTTCACGCGGTGGCGAGATGTTGTGAGAGAGAAATATTTTGTGCCAATTTAGCATATTTCTCGCCTCTAATTAGTCTACCTTGTCTGTTGTTTGGATTGCGTAGACAATACGCTTCCCCCCGTTTTGGCATCGGCGCAATTGTGGCCTTTTTGGCCTGTTTGCGCGACGCCCAGCGCACGACGTGGGCGGCTGTACAGCATCGGGGGGATCCTAGCCTTATATAGTATGGCTGTTTTCGGCGGCTGTGGGCGGCGCCGCTTGGGGCCTCCCGTGTTTCGGCTGGGGCGTGCCCGGCGCCTCGTCGAGAATTAGCGTT